TACTACGTGGCAGCAGCCACGAAGATAACACGTGGCATCTGCCACGTCGATAACCCCTCAGACAGTAGTGCGCCAGTCAGCATGCTGGTCGCACAGCACACTCAAGCCACGAACCAGCGACGAGCGCCGGTTGTCAAGTTCTCCGCAGCGTCTCGCCAGCAAGACAGCATAGAGCCGGCATTGACGCGAGAGCGTCGAGTCCCCATAGACTCCAGACGAGAGTCTAGATATCAAAGCCAGGAAATCAGCCCAATATGTAGTGTTGACGGCGGGGTCTGGGCCCCAGTCCTCAAGTCAGACACGGCCGAGATCGATTGTCGTCGACGGCCTGGATTGGGTTGAAACTGTATCCTCCTTGGTCCACCGTTCTGACTGAGTACCTGCACTCATACAAGTCGATGCACACGACCAAGGGCCTGGGCGAGGTTCCTGGACCTACAGTTCACTTTGACCTTTGAATTTCTTGCTGTGCGCGGTCACACAGTCACCCGCAGCGGCCTGAGGCCGAGCAGAGCGTGGTCGCACTGCTCGCTTGGCCTGGGCTTGGGTTACAGCGCCCAGGCCGCTGCTGAACGCGGTTTACTGCAATGGTTTACCGGACAGTTCTGTTTGCGACGATCTCTCTCTCTCTCTCTCTCTCTCTCTCTCTCTTTCTCTCTCTCTCTCTATATATATATATATATTTGGGTGTAACCAGCGTGACTACGTGCTGTTCTGTGATGCACAAATGTCAGGGCCGCGACTCTGTCCTTTGTGGACACAGAACTCATGTGTGACTGCACGGGCACCCAAAAAAGGCACAAATACATGGTACCAAACGCCCCAGATATTTGGGACTTTAGGTCCCCTTGTGAGTATGCCCTCAATCCTTTACCGGCCATTTTGTTAACCACCTTGATTTTCGGATGAACAATGCTACTGGATCAAAAGGGCTGGAGGCTGTAGGCAGAAAGGGGAAAAGAAAGTGCTGGCGCAGATTCGTTTTTTTTTCTATGGTGCGCAGAATCCACGTCAGGCAAAAGAGGCTCGGAGGTACTGTTGGGGCCAGGTCCCACCAGCAAAGAGAATTTGACTAAGTGCCTGAATCTGGATGGGTTTAGAGCAGCGATTCAGAAAGGCAGTTCAATCTCGATTTTCCGGACCTTTCCACTAGCACGTCCAGATTCGGGCATTTGACCCAATCCTCTTTGCTGCTAGAGGTGCCTTGCCCCTGGTGGTTTAAGAAGAAGCAAACATAGCAAAAACGAAGATAATGTAAGAGAAAGCTGGGTTGACCAGAAGAAGGGAAAATTGAAGGTGAATTTACTTCTTCTTCTTCTTCTTCTTCTTCTTTTTTTTTTTTTTTTTTCCCTGTTGGTAATTTATGTACAATAAAAAATTGTCATGGAGCAGCCGCAGCTGCAGTGCCTCAGCCATCTGTTTGCGCGGGTATTGTTTCCAGATCTCGAGTTCACCACAGTATCATATATGTGCAACCAGACTTAACGAATTTGGACAGTGCTTGAGGTAATGGTAATGTGAGGAGCATGACAAGTAAGATCATGAAGGAGAAGGATGGATGGGGAGACCTCAAAGAGCTGCAAGCAAGGTGCACAACGTTTTTCCACTTTCCATTGCTGTGATTGGTTGTCGGCGCGGAGCCGCATCTCCAGTGCCTCACCTTCAATCCCTGCAGCAGCATTGGGCACCGCAGCAGTCTTAAAGCTCTTGCTTAGTGACGTTTCGGCTTGTGGAGTGCCCTAAAATCTTGATCTGCATTTCTGGATGTTGGGTGGTTTGCGTTCGGCATCCCCTGAGAAGGATCCACTACTCTACGCTGTCCTTGACTTGATGCAGAAGGGCTAGACAGATTTGCGGTTATGGAAAGAATGACTTTTTCCATGATTGGCTATTCTAGGAAGCCATTGGGAGACCATAGGCCAGAATTCCACCATCGCTGTCAGTGTCGCGAAAGCAGCTGCAGCAGCCGGCGACAGAATGTTCGGGAACGGCACATTGTGGTCGTGACACCTCTGGGCTTTCTCACAACGTTGCTGTGGGGCCTTGCTTCCCTCGTGATTTTGGTTGAGGGTCGGACATTCTATGTCTCTTCGGAAATAGGTCGGGACTCGTTCAGCGAAGAAGAGGCACAAGACCCCCGAACGCCTTGGGCTACCCTTGACCGAGTTCGTAGGTTGTTTCTCGAGCGCGGCCATCAACCTGGAGATCAGATTCTCTTTCAAAGAGGCGGTGTGTTCCGAGGTGGGATTGACCTCTCTCACTTCACAGCCACACTGGTAAATGTCACCTTTGCAGCGTATGGCAACCCATCTCTCCCCCGACCACGCCTCACAGGCTCCATATTGGTTGACTCGGCATCGTGGCAGAAATGGGGTCCATCAGGATGGGGGATCTACGTGGCACAGATCCCTTCTCAGCCTTCGTTCGTCGGATCGGTATTCATCGATGGCCAGCGGCTGATGCGCTCCCGCTGGCCCAATCAGGCGGATCTTATACCTGTGACTGGTGCCTATGCTCGCTATGACTCCTGCAACAGCACCACCAAGGAGATCTTTGCTCCATATGCCGGCAGCCGACTTTCAGGGTACTGGGTTGGTGCAGAGCTTGTGTATCGGTCGACCGCTTACATGTACACGAAGGGCAGAGTGACTTCCTTTACTGTGATTCCTGGAGACTCTGCTGGTGGCGCCACAACCAATGGGGAGACGGTTGCCTTTGGATTGGACCTATCTTCAAGGGTCAGGGAGATGCGATGCATACGTGGGGCGGGGTTCTTTCTGCAAGACCATCTTGGGGAGCTCGATTCTCCAGGGGAGTATTTTTATGACAGCACATTTGGTAACCTGTATGTCTGGAACTGGGACTCTCAGAGCCCGGTCAGGAAGACGGTGGAGATCACAGTAACGTCCACAGGAATTGGTCTGTTCAGAAACATAGACTGTACAATTTCCAATTTGTCATTGGATAAATACCAACATTACGGTGTCCGCGTTGTCACCTCCACTAGCGCGTTGAGGCTCGTTGTGTCGAACCTCGTTGTGGAAGATGTAAACGGCTTCTGTATTGACTGCAGCAGCTGGTTTGGGGTCTGCTCAAACAATGTGGTTCGTCAATGTGGTCACACAGGCATTTCTATGCAAGGTTCAAACAATTTTGTGCAATGGAATAACATCTCGGAGGTAGGCCTCCTCAGAGGTGAGCACTTAGACAGTGCTCCTCCACAAGGGATAGGGACGGGCATGTACAACAGGAACACAACGATTCAGTTTAACACTGTGGCTGTAACAGGGTATATGGGAATCAACTTCCCGGGTGGAGGTAGCGTTACCCGGTTCAACTACGTGTCCGATACTTGTCTCATTTTGAATGATTGTGGCAGTATTTACCAACCCTATGTGCAAAACGCGTCCATAGCCAGGAATATCATAACGCGGTCTTGGGGCAATGAGGACTCACTACCGGTTGGGATGAATCACCCCGCATATGACCCCTACAGGAGATTCGGAGAAATATGCGTTTACATTGACAACAATGCGACAGGCATAACTGTTGCAGGTAACACAGTGATGGGCTGCTCCACTGGTGTGTTCAATCATGGAGGCAACTTCACGCTCATCGTCGGGAACACATTTTTTGATACCAGGCGAGCTGTCCAGTTTGGCGGGTTGTGGACTGGCTATAACAGTACCGTCGAAAGGAACATCATATATCTGAATCCAGGAGGTACTGTCTCCTTTTACGAGAGGGAGCCCGCAAACGAACCTGCCCAGTATATCAGAAATACGATTTGCAGTCCGTATAAACCCAATGCCGTTCAGGTGTTCAATAGGTCCCTCGGAAACCGACAATGGGGTACCAAAGATTGTGCCATTGACAACAAACCGGCCTGGAACATCACCTACCAGAGTAAAAATCTCATAACTCCAGCACTGACTAGAGTTCTTGCCCGCATGAGTGGCGAAGGCCAAGGTTGGGTTGTGATCCCTTCGAACGTGCCTCTGGAATTCAATGGTCCCAACGACTACTGTCAAGCCCAACCTTGCCTGCGAATTGTGCCGCCTCCGGGGTGTTGTGACGATGAACAGCTTCGGCCTCAAGCAAATGTTAGATTGGTGTTCAATCCGCGCCTCATGCTTGAACCAGGGACGCAATATTTGGTGCTGTTGGAGACGTTCTCGTCACTGCAACTTCCTTTCCTTCAACTTAGGGTCAGTATGCTTTGCTTCCTTCTCTTGCAGCGACTGTTTGTGCAGGGGGATAACCGTTACTTGTGACCCTCCAACCACTTTGCGACTGTTTTTTTTTTTTTTTTTTTAAATTCCTTTTGATTGGGCCAGTTTGGTTATTTTTGCGTGGTCCTACCAAGCAGTCTGGAATGATGCGGGTACTTTTGGACCACCGGTTCTTTCCTTGGTTGACCCGGACATTGTTTAGAGATGGCCTTCTTGGTCATTCTACATATGTCCATGTCTGGGCCTGGTTCACCCGGACGTTGTATATCATCCTTGAGAGTGATTGTCCTAACATTCCGTACCTGGACATTGTATATCATCCTTAGAAATTTTAAGTTCCCAAAATGTCCGAATGGAAAGATGTCCGAGTGGTCGATGGTGTAGTTGTCCTAACATTCGGTGGTTCATTCGTATCTGGACTTGTTTCCGGTTCGTTTGGTACTGTGCTTCTTCTGTCATTACTTCCCCAACACGTCTCCACCTTCATTTCTTTGCGCTTGATTGGGTTTCACCGCTGTTCTTCGGCATTACTTCCTCTTTTTTTTTTCTTTTTTTCTGGGACAATGCTCCAATCTATTCGTGGGGAGCTGCACGTGCTGGGAACCGGGCCCAGTGTCCCATTAGAAACATATTGAGAACGTGTACAAAGGAACTTGAGATACCGGGGCCATTGCCCGGCTTTGGCTGAGAATAGGATCATGAGCATTCAGAAAAGTCTAAGAAAACTGAAAAACTATGAAAAGTTTCTTTCTGAAAGAACCAACAAATACCAAACCAGAGTGGATGAGGCTCAACCATCCAAAACTCGACCGGCTTCGACCTTCCTCCTCGATATCAAGACTCTTCAAGGCCTCACACCCCCAACTGCTAGGTTACGAGGCAGCACGACCTGCCTCAGAAGACTCACATCTGCCTCAACACATCTTCACCTTCGTTTTTCCGTGCTTGATTGGGTTTCAAGGCTGTTCTTCATCCTGGGCCGGCATTTCAGTCTGCCTCAGCCATGCTGCTGGCTGCTGGCTCATTATGATGTGGGAGTTGCCCATATATGTGCGGTTGAGTGGGGAGTACCCTTTCTACATGACAAAGACCTACCATAAGTGCATATCCATTCCTGCATACTTTGGAATGGCTGTATACTTTCAAAAGTAAAAGCGTTGTCTCCCCCCCCCTCCAAAAGAAAAAAAAAAACCCTTTCCTTTTTTCTTTTGAAAAGTATTGTGTAGTTTTCTAAAAGGAAAAGGGAAAGGATGCACAAAAGAAAGGAAAGAGAGGAGAGGAGAGGAGAGGAGAGGAGGAGCAGAGGAGGAGGAGCAGAGGAGTGGAGGAGCGGAGGAGGAGATTAGGAGAGGAGGAGGAGAAGAGAAGAGAGGGAGGGAAGAGGAGAGGATAGGAGAGGTGAGGAAAGGGGAGGAGAGGAGAAGAGAAGAGAAGGGAAGGACAGGAGAGAGGAGAGGAGAGGAGACAAGACGAGAGAAGAGAAGAGAAAATAGAAGAGGGAAGGGGAGGAGGAGAGGAGAGGAGAGGAGAGGAAAGGAGAGGAGAAGAGAAAAACAATAAGATAGCTTTTTGGCTATGCAGGAGGGGCAGAACGAGCAGAAGAGGAGGTGGCTGAAGAGGAGAGGGATTGTGGATCAGGAGAGGGAGGAGGAGGAGGAGGTAGCGTTAGAGGGAGGAGGAAAAGGAGGTGGCTGGGGGGGAGGAGGAGGAGGAGGAGGAGGAGGAGGAGGAGGAGGAGTTGGGGCAGGAGGGGGTGGTGGCGGAGGAGGAGGTGGCCAAGGAGGAGGGGGATGGCAGAGCAGAAAGGGAAGAAAAAGGAGGGGAATGACAAACTCGGACCAAGAGAAGGCATCAAACAGGACAGTGGAGCTGGTGAGGGAGGAGGTGGACACCCTTTTTTTGGGTATGGCACATGCTCTTTTTCCCTTGGATGCATCGGAGGTGGCAGCAGAGGATGATGGGGAGGAGGATAAGGTGGTGAAGGAGGAGGGGGGATGGCGGAGCAGGGGGATGGTGGAGCAGGAGGGTGAGGAGGAGGATGTGGTGGAGGAGGAGGAGGTGGCTTGAGGCGCAGGAAAGGTGTGGAGGACCGGGAGGAGGAGAAGGAGGTGGTGGAGCAGTAGAGGGCGGAAGAGAAGAAGGTGGAAGAAGGTGATAAGGAGGAGGAGGAGGAGGGAATGATGGAGGAGGTGCCCAAGGAGGGGATGGCAGAGCAGGAGGGGCAGGAGGAGTAGGAGGAGGGGACACAGGGGGGAGTAGGCAGAGGCAGCGTGGAGGAGTGGGAGGAGGAGGGGGTGGAACAGGAAAGGGTGGAGAGGAGGTGGCAGAAGGTGATGGGTAGGAGGAGGGAATGGTGGGAAAAGTGACCGAGGAGGGGACGGCAGAGCAGGAGGGGTAGGAGGAGGAGGAGGAGGGCGATGGCAGAGCAGGAGGGGCAGAAGGGGGAGGAAGAGAGCGCATTGCGCAGGACAATGGAGCTTGTTTTTTTTCTTTAGTAATTCAAGTAAAAGAAACAGAAAAAGGGGCAATTGCCATGATTGTCGTCTTGTTTCTTTTTCCCAATAAGTAAGAAGAAGATGCAATTAAGATGGTCGTTGGTTAATGCGATGGGTGTGCTGATTCTACTCTTCAAAATAATGATGCGTGACAAAGAGCCCAAGAATCATTTGGGGTGGAACAGGCGGAGAGGGGTGTTTATTGTGAGAGGGATCGAAGACACGGGAGGGGGCTACCTTGACTAGTGGGGAGAGAAGGATCCTTCTAGTGGGAGCATCACGGAAAGCCAGATGGAGGAGAGGAGAGCGATATTGGTGGGTGGGAGGTGGAGGAGTACAAGACATGCAGGCCACCAGATAGGACAGGGGTCCAAGAGGAAAGGCAGCGATCTGCTGCATCTGGTCGTTGATTGTTTGCTTTTGAAGGTTTCTAAAGTGGGGGGACGAGAAGTGAGAGAGTGTTGAATATCCACAAGTAATTGGCGATGCAAAAGGCAGAGAGAGGTGTTCACTATGTGGGAGGTGAAGACGAGAGAGTGGACTACCTTGAGTGGAGGAAGGGAAGGATCCTTGGGGAGCTGCAGGATAAGCGAAGTGGGGGAGAGAGGAAAGAGGTACTGGGGAGAGGGGAGGGGAAGAAGGGGGAGGAGAAGACATGTAGATCAGCAGATACGAGTCAGTGAGATCTGCTGCATCTCGTCGTTGATTGTTTGCTTTTGAAGGTTGCTGAAGTGGGGGGAGGAGAAGTGAGAGAGTCTTGAATACCCAAAAGTCATTGGCGATACAAAGGCGGAGAGAGGTGTTCACTATGTGGGAGGTGAAGACGAGAGAGTGGGCGACCTTGATTGGAGGAGAAGGATCCTCGGGGAGCTGCAGGAGAAGCGAAGTGGGGGAGAGAGGAAAGAGTTACTGTGGAGAGGGGAGGGGAAGAAGGGGGAGGAGAAGACATGCAGATCAGCAGACACGAGTCAGTGCAAGTAGATCCTGTCTAGGGCATCGGGTTGGGGAAGGAGGAGGAGGAGGATGAGAACGCGGTGGCAATGCAATCAGACTCGACTTCTTCACACTTGTCATGCATGCAAACAGCGAAACAGAAAACTGGCGACATGCGCCCACACAGTACTCAAGATATCGTAACCAGGTAGGAGTTCTCTTCAACTGGCTATGGCGACTGAGCGCCCACACAACTCACTGTTCGCACTCTGGATCACCCTGGATGTCCCACACGCAACACTCTACACGCAACACACACACACACACACACACGCTACTATAGCTATGGCAGCTATGGCTGCCACTATCCTATCGCTACACTACACTTCACTGCCCTCTTCGTCTTCGGGCACACTGCAGACCTCCTCGCACAAGCTGCTGGGGCAGCGCTTCCGCATGGCATCCGCAGGAATGAATGAATGGCTGGGCGCAGCCTCTTGATTTATACTTCTGCGCTGCGTTGGTCTGCCCTGTATCCCTGGCCCCACGACGTGCACAGTCCCGGACGGTACTTGCTTGACTGGACCGGACTGGACTAACTGGGACCGCTGACTGTACTAGGTGGACTACCACCACTTGACCACTTGCCTCTGCTGTAAGCAGGCTAACTCCGAAAGGCCACTTCTAGAAGTCTCCAACTTGGCCTTTCGGTACTGTAGCAGCTACGACTTTGCCCTTTCAGGTAAGTAGCAGCTACGACCTTGACTCTTCAGACATCCTACAGCTACGACTCCGGAACTGTCTAGACTACTACCCTACAAGTCTACAGTTCGATTCCCTTCCAAGCTGTGACCTACGACAATCTACCTACCACTGGCATTTCGACAGGTCGCAGGTTCAAGTCTACGGGTTGACATCACTACTGTACACAGGTAAGATGGGGAACTAGGGATCGAGCCCTGGGATCTGCTTTCGCTACTGCGAACTGGTGAATACCGTTTCATGCCTGACTTCTGTGTTTTATGTACCAGATTGGAGCTTGGGGTTGCTGATGGCCCCTGCGCAAGGATGCCATGCATAACTCGATTTAAAAGACTACTTTCACGTGTGTTTGCCGTTACGTCCGAGTTATGTGTGGCATCCTTGCGCAAGGGCCATGCTAATCTTGTTTCGATGTATCGTTCCAATTTTAACGCATATCCCGAAGGACCTCGTTCACAATTACAGAATTTACAGAATTTCGTAAATTTACCACTTCTTTTTTTTCACTGTTAAAGCATTTTTTTTCTCTGAACAGGATAAAGTTCTATACGCAAGAGATTGTGGTGTTCCGTGAAGATTTGCTCCATCGGATGAGACGAGCTTGCGTTCTTCGGCCTTCCGAGGAGGAGACAGCAGAGCCATTTGAGCATGTGAGTCTGATTACTATCCCCTCTGTCCTGTACCGCCTGCATCTGAAATTTCTGTAACTTAGCTTCCCATTCTAACTTCGAAGTACTCCATCTCCTCTTCCTCCCCCCTCTTCAATGTTTCCACATTTCTTTCCAC